CTGTATCAAGGGCCGAGAGGGGCCAAAAATGGCTATGTAAAATGTATCAAAGGTTTGCCACACGTGGAGACAAAAGCACAATGCAAACAATCAAGGTGAGCGAAAGTTCGGGGGGATTTAGGGGTGTTTGGCTTCAAACACATGGTGCGCCTTTTGCTCTTTGCACGGGTGTCCTGACGTACTGCCAAACGAGGTTGCACTTCGGCGGCAGGTTCAGGAAGATGGGTCGTGCGAAGGCAACCGCGTTGGTCGGACCCTCCGGGCTCGCGCGGGACACGGACGCCCTTCGGGTCGTAGTGGTTGCGGTGCTGGTCGAGGTCCGTCACAGGGCGCTCAAGTGGTTGAGACGGTCCGCCCCCTCGAGGTCTTGGCAGGTCCAGAGCTTGAGGCGGCAAAAGCACAGCCCCATCACTCTGGCGAGGTCCGAGGACTCAAGGATGCGGGTGGAACTGGGGTCGTAGCGATAGCGCCGCATGTCGTAGAAGGGCGTGGCGGGTTGGTGGCGTTGTCGCTTCTGGCTGGGGAGCAGGTCGACTCGGAGTGGCTTGATGCGTCCCAGGTTGCGCTGGGCGACTTGCTCCAGCTTCTCTTGGGTCCAGAAGGTCCTGTGCATGTATGGCAGTTTCTGAGCCGTCTGCATGTTGTTCATGATCATGTCGGCCAGATAGGCGCGGGGGTCCTTGGCTTGTCGCAGGTCGGATGCGATCTCGTTGATGTGGACCTTCATCTGTTGGATGAGCTTGCCGGTCGTGTCCTCCTCCCAGCGAAGAAGGTAGAGCATGTAGCGCCGGTCGTCGTCGCCGGTGATGGCCTCTGCCAATTGGTCCGTCTCGTGTGCTCCAGCGGTGGCGCGTACCACGAGGCACTTCTGGGCCGGCACGAAGCGTTCTGTGTCGTCTTGGCCGGCTGCGGTCAGGGCCTCCCCTCGGGATGCGGCTTTGGCGTCACTGTAGGTTTTCCAGGGGTGGTATTGCTGGAGGCACTCGGGACAGAAGAACTGGCCGTGCTCGGTGATGTTGGCGGTGGCGCGCAGCCAATGTGACGAATGTACCACCGCTTTGCACGACTGACGTCGGCAGATAAAGTGCTCGTCGGTGGACGGGAGGACGCGGGTGATGAAATCGGTGAGGTGTGTGGGATAGTCGTCAGAGTCCAAGAACTCAAGGAGGGTCCCGGTGCTGTTTGCGCGCAATGCCTCGGTGAGGTGCTGCCTCTCCCATTTGTGGAACATGAGGAATAGGTCTCGTCGGTCCTCGGGTGCCAGGTTGATGAGGTCGAGGCACATGGTTTCGGCGAGGAACTTGGAGTGGTCGCTGATGAGGCGGCGAAGGTGGTTGTTGGAGGTTCCGGGGTGGATCTCGCGCAAGGAGTCCATCATGTCCGTGTGGGTGTTCGTGCGGATGGTGCCGACGGCCTTGTTGGTCATGTAGTCCAAGCGGCGTCGCCATGCTCGTCGGCACAGCTTGCTGAACACCTCGAGGGTGAATGGCCGGCGGTTCTTCACGTCGAGGGCTGGTACCCTGATCCAGCGGCGGTTGACCTGGTCCCACCTGTGCACGGTGATGTAGGCGTCGTGAGCGTCGTCCGTCTCTGGCACCGCAATCTGTAAGGTCGGTGGGGCGATGGTATGGTCGCTGATCATGGCCGCGAGGTCGGGGTGCTCTGCGATGGTGTTGTACGGTGCGTGTTCTGCAATCAGGGAGTTCGGGTCGGCCAGGAGCTCCTCGAACTGGAACCACGGCACGCTACTGGTGTCGCAGGTAGCGCACCCGTAGCACGCCCCGACCCACTTGTTTCGCCAGTCGGTTTCCTCTGAGAAGCAGAGGGGCATGATGTACTGGGATTGGTATGGGATCTGGCAGAACGAGCACTGCAGTGTGGCTGGTGTTGGATTCAGGTTGTGCCAGTCCAGCAGCAGGTAGCGTGTCCGTGTGTCCGGCTCGGTGTTGGTCGACTCCATGAAGAGGTCGATCGCGTCCGTGGTGGAGAGGCGGGGATTCTCGGTGCGGAAGGTCTGGAACCTCGAGAGGACGCCGGTGTTGTAGGACCGCAGGAGGAGCTCGCAGACTGCGTCGGTCTCGCGAAGTGCCATGTTGTGCGAAGGGGGTGCGATATCGGATACACAAAAGCCAGCCTGAAAATTCCTTCGGAATTGGAGGTGGCGCTTGCCGAACTCACGCAGGAGTCGGTAGTGTGCCGGGTGTGAGTCAAAGGGGGGGGGGGTTGGTCGGGCCAGGGGGGTGTGTCTAGGTGACTCGGGTCCAAGGATGGCCCGTTGATGGGGGGGATCTGTACGACGCGCCACACCGGCACAAACGTCGTGTCATCCCGAGGGGTGGAGCTGTCCCGTAGGACCAACTCCCTGCGGTGTGAAGGTGACCGGGGTCGGCCTGTCATCAGGGATCCGACCCGAAGAAACCGGTAATCCACATCCGAAGTGGGGTGAAAGACCGGTCGGGTTCGGGGCAGGCGAGTGGGGATTGGTCACCGCAGTATGGGCCTCAGGCCTCAGTCGGTTTGTCAAGGGGTATCCTCTCGAATCAAACAGGGGGGACGAAGAGGGTCGACCCGGGCTCGAGGCTCTCAGCGCTTTTGCGCGGTCCGAAGATGGATCTCTCTTCGGGAAAAGGGGGCCTCAGGCGGTCGCCTAGGCATGGGTGTCACCTGTGCGGTATGAGGGTCATCGCCCTATTGCTGGCCCACCATCGCACGGGACATGGACTTGGTGGGTCAACTTAGGGTGGCGGGTTTGGAGACTCCTCGGTGCCGCCTGGTCAGTAGCGGGAGTCCTGGCTCTGCTCAGTCTTAGAGCTCCCGGTTGAAGCGCAGGTGTCCGTCGGGGCCGAGCAGGATGCCCTCGATGGTCGCCATGGTGCGTTGTTCGGGGGTCAGGAAATTGGAAATTGTCTCAATGATGGTCTCCCCGAAGGTGATTGCCATGTTGTCCACAAAAGGGTCTCGCCGGGAGGCGCGACAGAGCTGCCTCCCGAAGGTAAGCCAGGAACAGGTCAGTTGTTGTAGCATGTGCTGCCGGTTGGCGCTGTTGAGCAGCTGGAGTTGTTGGTGAACGTGTTGCTGGATAATCCAGCGCAGCAGGCTCCTGAGAGGTGTGACCTGCGTAGTTGGTTCCACGGGTACAAGAAAAAGGCCCCCGAAGTCATTGCCGTACACATTGGTGGGGGTGCGCGAGAAGATGCCGTAGTTGGTCAGGTGCCATTGCAAGCCGATGTGGTCGAGGACGGAGGGGAATTCCGGTAGCAGTTCCGGATTGATCAGGAAGGTGGCATCTTCGTGTACCCGCGCGCGGATGTGTCCGGCCCGCTGGGTTGACAGCAGGCCTTGTGTGCTGTCGTCACGGTCGATGCCTGGCGGCTGGAGCCACTGGACTAAGTCGTGATGTTGGTTGGATGGTGTGGGGGGTGCCGCCTTGGATGGTGTGGTGGGTTGCGGGCGTGGTGAAGGCATGTGGTGCGGGACGGGCCCGGTCGATGTGGTGGTCGCCTCCGGGAATCGGGCCTGTCTGGGAGTGTCGCGAGCCGTGGGTGTCGCGAAGTTGACGGTCCGCGGTGGTGTCATAGCTCGGGAGTATCCCGGTTGTGTGGAGCGGCCTCGCTGCTGTCGGGGGGTGTTGTTCCGTTGGCGAGACGGGTTCAATGTGCTTGGCGGGCCACGTGGTACCGCGTATGGCATCTGGTAGGTGCACGGATCGGGGTACCGAACGTTCATGTGGTGAATGGGCGTGTTCCACTCGCCGTGAAGGTGGTCGCGGAGGATTTCAAAGGCCTCCCGCCTGGACACGAAGCGCCATTCACGGTGGGCTGTGTCATAGTGGATGCCCACGCCGGTGTTGGGTCTGGCATGGTGCACGAAGCGCAGCCAGGCAAGAAGGTCACCATGCAGGACTGAGTCGCTGTGAACATGGCGGCATTCGGCACCACTGTCGCAAAAGCCTTCTGGATGCCGGGCCTGTTGTCGAAGATGTCGGTAACAGATGTTGTCTCGCGGCATCCAACGCGCATCAACGAACTCCGGATGCAAAAAGGCGCACTGGTGGGCAGAGGCAGGTGCACGTCCCCTGCAGCCGGAATGGTTGATGAACTGGTTGCAGACCTGATTGCCCTGCAAGATGTTGCCCGGACCGACCGCCTCGGGCAGGATCGAAAGATGGTCTTGAAGGGCCCGGTACAGTCGTTCATAATCCGGGTCGAGCTCGGTCATTTCCATGAGCTGGTACTCCTCCACGATGGATGCGAAATTCGCTGGAGCAGTCATGGCGGTCGAGCAGGCAGGGCAGGTAGGTCGGAAAGAAAAGAAAAATTTGGCTAATTCGCCAAAATGGCTTGAGCCAAAATGGCTACGGAGCATGAATCAAGCAGTGTCATCCTGCAGGCACTCAAGGTTCGAATCTGAGTGTGATTCAAATGCCTTCCGCTATCGGTTGTTACTTTTAACACAAGTGTTAACCGCCACATCAGTTCTGGAAAGTCACATCACTGCATGGCACATCTAAATGGCAATATGTCGCATCAACCGGAAGGAAGTCAAACCACAAAATCAAATGCCACGGGAACATGACACAACTAGGCAAGCCTTGATACTTGGGCGAGATCATGCACACAACGAAAGATCTTGCCGCGCAGAAAGCACGTAGGAACAGCCACTGGCACCAACAACTTCAACTGACTGCATATCGTACAAGCGAAATTGTTCACATCGCCCTGCAAATAAACAGCCCCTGCCTTTCCAAATAGCACCCTACAATGGGAAGGGTTTTCGTTTTTGCTTCTTACCCCACCACAAGGGAGCCCGAAATCCTTTTGGAGAAACACCGATTTGGGTGTGTCTTGTTTTAGGGGACCCTACAAAATCGTGGTTTTCCTTTTGGTTGCCCTTTGAACCCCACCACCGGGTACACACCAAAAACAAGAGAGGCCCTTTTTACCACGGCCTGGCAACTTCGATCCTTTTCAGCGAGACCAACGGCTCGGGCGCTCGAGTGC